TTTTTATATAAATTTTCTTCGCAATTTCTTAGTTCTGATATATATATATATATTTTTTTTTTCTTCAAACATAATCTTTGTATACAAAGTAATAAAGAAACTAACGTTTAACTTTTTACTCGCTTCCACTTTTTTTTTCTAATTCAAATAAATAAATTTTTTCATTCACAGTATCGAGTAATAAAAAAACTAATGTTTATTCGCTTCCATTTTTTTTCCAATTCAAATAAATAAATTTCTTCGTTCGAGAGTCTCGATACACGCTATATATATATATTTTTCTTCAAATATTATAATACGACGAAGCAAGTATTCTTCGTTTTTATTCTTTTTACATAAAATCGATATAATTGTTCGGTGGCAAGGTGCGGCACATGTGGTACAACGGCCAGTTGAGGGAGGTGATGATCTCGGATACGTGGAGGAAATATATTCGCGATGTTGGATTTAATAACTTGGCCAGGGTTGCGAGCCTGTGCAATCGGGCCGAGTGGGAGCCTTTGCCCGAGGGTATACCGAAACCGCCTATAGCCAAGAGGAAGATTTTAGGCGACGCTTCGGACGCCGCTTTGTTGAAATGCATGGAGGTGCTTGTGAAGGGTGGCGCGGAATCTTACAGGAGAGTCTGCAAAAAGGTATGTCCAAGGTATCTCTTTTGCCCATATTTGATTGGTAGATGATACGAAACGAAAAATTTCTCCTTAATATTCGTTCGATTCGCCCCTTTCTCTCTCTCCCCTCCTCCTGAATATATCTAGATGTTCGAGATACCGTTCAACTCGACGGACAAATTCCAAGCCAACGTTTATCTGTGCGGGAAGAAGCACATTGTTTTCTTGAAGGGGGCACCGGAAAGAGTTTTGGAACGGTGCTCGACGGTGGCGTTCAACAACGAAACGAGGAAGCTCGACGACGAGATCAAGGAGGCGTACACCGAGTCCTGCTACGTCCTCGCCAACAACGGGGAGCGCGTCCTCGGTTTCGCCGACCTCGACCTCCCCGTCACTACATTCCCACCCGGCTTCGTGTTCAAAGAGGACCCCCTAAACTTCCCCCTCAACAACTTGAGACTGGTAAAAATAAAAATTCCTTATAAAATCATATAATTCTCCCTCCAATAAATTCTTCTTTTTCCATTCCTTCCTTCTTTCTTTTTCTTTTCATTCGAATACCGTACCAAATAAATTCCTCCAATAAATTCTCTTTTTCCATTCATTCCTTCTTTTTTTTTTTTTTCCTTTAATTCGAATACCATAGAAAATATTCGAATTATACCAAATATATTCCCTTCTTTCCTTCTTTCTTTTTCCTTTAATTCGAATACCGTATCAAATATTCGAATTATACCAAATAAATTTCCATCTTTCTTTTTCTTTTAATTCGAATACCATATCAAATATTCCAATTATATCAAATAAATTCCCGTTTCTTTTTTCTTCAATTCGAATACCGTACCAAATATTCCAATTATACCAAATAAATTCCCTTCTTTCCTTTTTTTTTCCTTTAATTCGAATACCGTATCAAATATTCGAAATATAACAAATAAATTCCCTTCTTTCTTTTTCCTTTATTTGAATACCGTATCAAATATTCGAATCATACGAAATAAATTCCCTTCTTTCTTTTTTTTTTCATTCGAATACCATATTAAATATTCGAATTATAGCAAATAAATTTTCTTTTTTCTTTTCCTTTTCATTCGAATACCGTACCAAATATTCGAATTATACGAAATAAACTCCCTTCTTTCCTTTTTTTTTTTCCTTTAATTCGAATACCGTACCAAATTCGAATTATAACAAATAAATTCCCTTCTTTCTTTTTTTTTTAATTCGAATACCGTACCAAATATTCGAATTATAGCAAATAAATTTCCTTTTTTCTTTTCCTTTTCATTCGAATACCATAGCAAATATTCGAATTATACGAAATAAACTCCCTTCTTTCCTTTTTCTTTTTCCTTTAATTCGAATACCATAGCAAATATTCGAATTATAACAAATAAATTCCCTTCTTTCTTTTTTCTTTAATTCGAATACTTAATTCGAATACCAAATATTCGAATCATACGAAATAAATTCCCTTCTTTCCTTTTTTTTTTTTTTTAATTCGAATACCGTACCAAATATTCGAATTATAGCAAATAAATTTCCTTTTTTCTTTTTCTTTTCATTCGAATACCGTACATTCCAATTATACCAAATAAATTCCCTTCTTTCCTTTTTTTTTTTTCTTTAATTCGAATACCGTACCAAATATTTGAATTATAACAAATAAATTCCCTTCTTTCTTTTTTTTTTCATTCGAATACCATACCAAATATTCGAATTATAGCAAATAAATTTCCTTTTTTCTTTTCCTTTTCATTCGAATACCGTATCAAATATTCGAATCATACGAAATAAATTCCCTTTTCTTTTTTCTTTAATTCAAATACCGTACCAAATATTCGAATTATACCAAATAAATTTCCTTCTTTCCTTTTTTTTTCATTCGAATACCGTACCAAATATTCGAATTATAGCAAATAAATTTCCTTTTTTCTTTTTCTTTTTATTCGAATACCGTACATTCGAATTATACTAAATAAATTCCCTTCTTTCTTTTTCCTTTAATTCGAATACCATATCAAATATTCGAATTATACCAAATAAATTTCCATCTTTCTTTTTCCTTTAATTCGAATACCATAGCAAATATTCCAATTATAACAAATAAATTCTCTTCTTTCTTTTTCCTTTAATTCGAATACCATATTAAATATTCGAATTACCAAATAAATTCCTTTCTTTCTTTTTCCTTTAATTCGAATACCGTACCAAATATTCGAATTATACCAAATAAATTCCCTCCTTTCCTTTTCTTTTTCTTTTAATTTGAATATCATACATTCCAATTATACCAAATATATATATATAATGGTGGCGATTTAGATCGGTTTGATATCGATGATGGATCCTCCGAGGCCAACGGTGCCCGACGCCGTGTACAAATGTCGTTGCGCCGGGATCAAGGTGATCATGGTGACCGGCGACCATCCGGACACGGCAAGGGCGATCGCCAAATACGTGGGCATCATCACCGACGACTTCCTCAGCAACGAGAACGAGGGAAAAGAGCAGTCGATCGTTGTGACCGGTATGGATCTAAGGGATCTCGAGCCGTACGAATTGGATCGCATAATAAGAAGGTATCCGGAGATAGTTTTCGCGAGGACGTCCCCCGTTCAGAAGCTTCAGATCGTCGAGAGTTGCCAAAGGCTTCATCTGATCACAGCTGTGACCGGGGACGGTGTGAACGACGCGCCTGCGTTGAAGAAGGCCGACATCGGTATCGCTATGGGGATCGCCGGTATCTCTCTCTTTCTCTCTCTTTCTTTCTCTCACTCTCCCTCTCTCCCTCCCTCTCTCTTTGTCTCCCTCCTTTCTCCAACGTTACTTCGATCGAAACGAATTGGAATTACGATTTTTTATCATCGAATGAAATGTTCGAACCAACCAGGGTCAGACGTGAGTAAAGAAGTCGCGGACTTAATTCTATTGAACGATGACTTTGCGTCTATAGTGACTGGGATCGAAGAGGGGAGAAGGCTGTTCGACAATTTGAAATCGAGCATCGGTTACACATTGGCCAGCAACGTTCCAGAGATACTTCCATTCTTGGCGTTCATCCTTCTCGGTATACCGTTGCCAGTGGGAGTGATATGCATATTGTGCATTGATCTCGGCACCGATATGTGGCCGGCCATCTCGCTCGCTTACGAGAAATCCGAATCGGATATCATGCTCAGGTGATAATCTAGATAAACAGAGAGAAAGAGAGAGAGAAAAAGAGAGAGAGAGAGAGAGAGAGCGCGGTTGTAACGATGTAACGTAATTACAGGAAACCGAGGATACCGTTCAAGGATCATCTCGTCAGCCGATCCTTGCTTTTCATGAGTTACGGGCAGATAGGGATAATAGAGGCATGCGCAGGTTTCTTCACTTATTTCGTCGTTATGGCCGAGCACGGTTTCATGCCGTACACATTGTTGAACCTGAGATCCTCGTGGGATTGCATCGTAGTGAACGATCTGCAGGACAGCTTCGGCCAGGAATGGACTTACGAGCAACGAAAAATTCTCGAGTACACTTGCCACACGGCTTTCTTCGTCAGCATAGTGATCGTACAGGTGGCCGACGTGATGATATGCAAAACTCGTCGCAACTCCCTCTTCCGCCAGGGAATGAACAACTGGGTGCTCAACTTCGGTATTATTTTCGAGTTGGTTGTCGCATGCGTGGTTTGCTACGCCCCCTACATGGACGTGATCCTTCGCACCTATCCCCTCCTCGCCGAATGGTGGCTGCCCGGTATACCGTACGCGTTGATCATTTTCACTTACGACGAATTGAGAAAACTTTGGGTGAGGAAGAATCCCGAAGGATGGTGGGATCGCGAGACTTGTTATTAAAAATTATTAAATATATACATATATATATTTTCTCCACTGGGAATATACATTGCAAGCACGAACGAACATTCCAAAACGTTCCATATACATAACCTCTACGTAAGGTAAACAATTGAACTTTTCGAATCGATCGAAAGATTATCATTGTATTGTAAGAGGAGAAAAATAATGGTTTTCGAAAAATATACAAAAAGAATATATATATATATATACGTGGACATGTCGGACGAACTATTGGATGGATTGTTGTACGATTTATAAAAGGAAGAAAGAGAGAAAGAGATCGACGGCAGAGGAAGCAACTGACGGCGTATTCGTTCGAGTTAAGTACGCGGTCATCGAGTGTTGTAACCGTTCGTGAACGGAATAGTGGGGGATGCATATAAGGCCCTGGGACCCTCTCGATGCGATCCAGTACTCTCTAGTCATCAATTCCATCACGTCCACGACGACCGTGACTCGATTCCCGGACGAACGAGAAAACGAATACGTATACCTTCTCTTCTCTTGTCAACCCGCCTCCTCCACCTCCTCCTCCGTCACCATGAAGACGGAGGTGTTGTGCCTGCTGATTTGTCTCGGTGAGTAATTTTATTAATAATAATAATAATAATGGTACACGAATAATATACCGACGTATATTTTGCGATATTTTGCAATAATTTTCAATGCCGCTTCCATCGTTTCTAACTTTCTATTGTTTGCCACGACTCGAACACGCGTAGTTTTTTTCATAGTAAAACTCGTGAAAAAAATTGTTTGTATAATATTCGTAATATTTGTGAATTGAGAGAAAAATTATAGAACAAACGGATCATCGAGATACGACGGCCAGTTTGACTAGTGACCTTTAGCCGAGATATTGTTTTACTTCTTACCGCCTCGCAATCTACTCCGTTAACTCCGTTGATTGTACACGTTTGCACGTTCTCGATTCTAATCCTAGATATTGCAATTTAAATATGGAATAAATTTAAATTAGCGCGTTCTTCTCCGAATTTTTTATTTCTAAAACGTAGCAATCGATATAAAATGGGCAATATGGAATACTCATAAATTTCTTTGGAATACGTGTCAATTTGAAGAAAAAGAAAAAGGAAAGAAAAAATAATGATCCCGATCGATAGCAACGATAATATAACAATATATAAATTATATGGAATATAATAATTTTATTATATATGGAATATATAAATTTCTCTGGAACGTGTGTCGATTAAAAAATAAATAAATAAACGATCGAATCGAAAAATGATCGTCTCGATGCGATGATAGAAATTCGAATTATAGAATAGAATTCGATTTAAACGAAATACACGAAATTTTATCCTTTCTTCGATCCGAAAATCCCGAGACACGCGTTGGAAAGTTAAGTTAAGATCGAGCCAAGGCAGGCATAGCGAGGCGCTTTCTCGCTTTCTTCCGCTCGCGAGGTCGACCGGCGCGCTGCGTTTACGTACAACCGGCGTTTATTCAGGGACGCAAGACGTCGCGCCGCCTTGAAAATACTCCGACCGGTCGACCCTCTCTCTCTCTCTCTCTCTCTCTCTCTCTCTCTCTCTCGCCGCCATTCACCGCTTCTTATTCCTTCTCTCTCTTTGTATTTTTTTATTCAAATTCATTTTTTACTTACAATGCATCCGCATTGCAAAGCCCCACCTTCTCCCATAAAGGAATAAAAATATCCAATTCTTCCCTTTGAGAATGAAAGAAAAGAAAATATAATTTTTTTTGAATAATAAGAAAACACTTTTTCTTTCCTTCTCCTTAGGATAAGAAAAAAAAAGTAATGGAATATTTTCTTGTTCTCAGGCGCGGTCACCGGTTTGACGAGGAAGCAAGAAGCGCTCGAGCAGAATCGTAGGAAAGTAAGTTTGCCAGCGTTGCAAAGGAAGCAGCAGCAGATATCCGCCGAGGAGGAGTACGAGGAGGACGAGGAAGAGGTATCGGATCAGTGTCCCGAGCCGAACGGTTATTTCCCCGATGCGGGACAGTGCGACAAATATTACGACTGCCGGGACGGGAAAGTTATAGAGAAACTGTGCCCCGACGGCCTCGTGTTCAACGACTTTAGCCCCCAACACGAGAAGTGCGATCTCCCGTTCGGAATCGATTGCTCCAAGAGGCCGAAATTGCGTAAGGGGCCATATTCGAAATATTCCTACCCTCCTCTTCACTCCTCGATAAGGGAGGAACGGGCGCGCGCGTGTGCGTGTATATATATGTATAAAAAGCGTATAAACCGAAAATCGATCTCCCCCCCTTCCAATTTTCCGCAGAGAAACCACAACCGTCCCCCCATTGTCCAAGGATGCACGGTTACTTCGCCCACGAGGATAGCAGGATATGCAACACGTTCTATTACTGCGTGGAGGGCAAGTACAACATGATCACGTGCCCTGAGGGTCTGGTGTTCTCAGAGAAGACGGGTATATGCAATTGGCCGGACGAGGCGCAGAAGAAGGGTTGCGGTTCCAGGGAGTTGTTCAACTTCACGTGCCCTAGAGTGGACGAGGCGATCGCTGCCACTCACCCTAGATACCCTGACACGGAGGATTGCCAGTATTTTTACGTGTGCGTGAACGGGGAGATACCGAGGAGGAGCGGGTGCAAGTTGGGGCAAGCGTTCGACGAGCGGACTGGAAAATGCGACTGGGCGAGGAAGATACCCGAGTGGTGAGTCCGTCGAATTTTACTTCAATGGGATGATCACCTCTCTCTCTCTCTCTCTCGAAATTTTCAGCAAAGACTGGTACAAAGGTCAATTGACCGACGAGGAGTTGGACGCGTTGGAGAATCCGCCCCCGAAGCCGAAACCGAGTAGCGGTGGACAGCACAGAAGGAAAGGCGCGAAACCGGCGTAGATTTAAGGCTAAACTAATAATATATATATATATATATGTGTGTCTGTGTAGATTTTAATTGTTTATCGGCTCAACGTCGCTTCGATATAATAAAACATTTTTAATATTATATATATATGTATACGTATTATGTATATATATGTATATGTATGTATATATACTCTTTTTTTTTCACGAACGAAATTATTATTAACCGAACGATTGTATATTTTTTTTTGTTTATTATTATAGCGAAACGAAAGCGACGAAATTATGGTCGTCTCCGGTGAGATAATAACGATCGAGGATAAAGGATACGCGAGAACGTGTTATCCGTTGAGCGTGTTTCGAAACAGTTCGCAGAAGAATGCAGATAATCGTTCTCTCGAAGTTCGGGGCGAGGGAGGGGGGGAAGGATAAAAGCGCGAATCCCTTCGATCAATCTTGATTCCAGACTGGTTATCCATCTATGAAATCGAAGCGAAAGTGGGGAAGAGACGTTGGATACAGAGTGGGACTAACGAGGTATGGTATACCTCTGTGGTAAGTTGGCGAGAAGTGTGCAGTGTTTCGTGAAAGACATCGGAAAAATTACCAGGTGTTTGGGATAATCGTTACTTGAACGGCGACTCGATGAGTCATTCTCGAGTAAAAAGTCGAAAGGAGAAAGAAAGTCGAGTTAATCGAACGATGTTATTATCTTTATTATATTTTCTTTTGGGTATCGTAAAATGTAAGTGGTACGCTTTAATAAATTAGTTTCGTGCGATTATTAAATTTTTTCGATTATTAAAATAATAATTGCGCGAATGAAAATAAAAATTCTAAAATTTTTCCAAAACTGGGAACAATTTTAATCATCGAACCAGATCTAAGAATTATTAATACGATTTTTCTTTGAAATTTTGATTCGATTAAATATTTTTTCGAAACTCTATCTATCCCTATTACAAAGAAAAAGAATAATTTCTAATACGTTAACATTTATTTCGTATTTGGAGAATGCGTAGAGAAACTTTCTAAAGTCTAAATGTCAGATCTACTATAGGTTAAGTTGCATAAGTATCTATCTCTGGTCCCTCCACGCGCGTGAAATCAATGAATTACTCGAGGAAATAAAACAATGCTGGGATAGAAAGATAAGTTGGGCTGGTTCCACTCTTTCCTGCATTCTGCTTCTTGCTTACAAGCTACTTTGTATGCTTCTCGAAGCGTGGCATTGATTTCCGGTATATATCTTGCAAAATAAATGTTGCAAGTAACGCAAGTAGAAATTTGTTCCAGTTACTTTCTCCCTTTGCGTTTCTTTTATATATTTTATATTATGTATATATATATATGTACAATATTTTCATTCATCTCTACTTTATGTGTGTAATATAAAATTTAATTAGTCTCGAGATAATGAGAAGATAATAAAAAGAGGAATAATATGATTAAGAATTAAGATTAGAGAAATTTGTTATAGACGATGCTTTTGATCGATAGAACGAAAGGACCGATAAGAGGATGTGCAACAAATGAATAGATAGTTCAAATGAACTCGTATTCGATTCGGTGAAAATTATCAAATGTGATCGCTATAATTAAAGAGATTGTTTTAAAATGTATAAGAAAAATATATAAAAAATGGTAAGCGACGAAATTGGTACATATTAGCATTTAATCGGAATTAAATATGATATAAAGATAGAAATTAAATTAATTAAATTTTTTATAATCGAAAATTGACGCAATAACGATGACAAGAAATTATTTATGACATCCTTATTTCGCATGTAATTATGCGTGCATTTAGACATTTGAATATTCATGAATAATAAATTGTATTTTACTTTATTCGTTTTAACATTTATTATGTTATGAAAAATATCATCGATATTAGGGAATCTTTATAAACACACGTATGAAATTGAATAAAATATCTTTGAATTTCCTTTCGTAACCAACGAAGCGTATCGAGAGTAACTTTCTCCTGAACATTTCATTAGGTATTTTTTGTTCTTCGTCGAAAAACCACTTTCATATTACACACACGTATTATAATAATACATTTTATTTATAACAGAATTAATATTCTCAGGAGAATAATGGAATAGTTATTAATGTTCCATTTTATCTTATCTTTGATGCTTATCGGAATCATTATTTCTTCAGTGTACTATTATTTATTCATTGTACACTAGCGGCCTCAATTTTTGCCGTGCTTCTTTTTCAAAGTTGATATATGCATTGCGTAACACCGTCCTATCGGTTATACAGATAGCAAATATTACGTTAGTAGGTTAAACAGTTTCGTAACAGGAAAATGATTTAATCTATATATAATTATATAATTTCCATTAATTTATATAATTATTTTTCCAAATGTCAAATGTAGATGCTTCTTCTACACGTTGATGAAAAACACGAGACAATTTCTTCGCCAAGTCAAGAGAGAAGCGTATACTTGTAATAATTGTGAGAACAGAGATGACTAATCTAAACTTTCCCAAACTGTCCTCTGATTACACCGCGCTCGTGTAATCGCACCGGTATTCATTTATACTCGATTCAATCTAAGCTGAAATTTCTTGCGTTATAGGGAGGATCAGCTTGAATCCGGCTTGATTGTAACAGTATCTTAAACTGGTATATACAGGGGAAGCGGAAAATTTAATCGCGATCAAGTTACCCGTTGGAAATTCATAATAAGCGAATTATCGACGAATCTCGTGAGTGGCGTTGGAAGAAAAAAAATTATCACGTGATTGTTGATGTTAATATAATTCGTACGATAGCTAGGCCATCTTTTGCCAACTTTCCTCGATGTTGAACGTCCATGTTTGGATAATCGAGCGTTCGGTTAAACGGTATTCCGATAATCGAGGTTGAACGTAATAAAGAGCAGTGTGGAGGATGAGACGCGTGCATGTAAGCGTACGTTAACTTGTAGAGGGACACTCGCGTCCGCCTATCGGGATAACGTTCAAGAGTGGAAGTTGGACAGAATAGGTATGATATTAGGAGCGGTTTGAAAGGTAAAGTTACGCCAATTACAGAACTAGCGAACCACGAGAAGGTCAATAGAATATGCAAATTGGTGTTCAAACGGTAAGAGCTGGTTTCCTCTTGGTTTTCATTACCAGTCGTCCATCTCCTTTCATCTTGATTTCTCTCTCTCTCGATCTTTCGCCAATTCGACGATATAATTTTCGCCACAGAAGTAAAAAAAAGTTCACCCGTTAAATAATTCCCGGAACTAATTACCACTATCCGATATATAAATTTGAGATATAATTCGAATAATAGATTCGATAATCGTTTCTTCATCGTTAACTGGCTTCGGTTAAAAGATTACACGGCGGTGAGGCGTGGCAATTACGCGGTAAAGTAAAACAATCGAACTCGCTCCTCGGTCTCGAGGAGAATTTCGAAGAGAAATCCGAAACTTACCGCACCGGTATCCTTTCTAAAAGTTGATTCTCCAATTCTCGGTATCCAGCACGATTTCCCTCGAGTAGAGGTCGGTGAGGAAAAGTGTCCTTTTCGTTTTTTATTTATTTTTTCTTTTCTTTTTTTAGAATTAGAAGAAAACCGAGATACGATCGGTAATCGATATCTCCAGATGGAGTTGGAAGGGCCTCGTAAAATTGGCCAAACAACGATTGGTTTAGCGATAGTGGGTGTTCATTTACAGGTGTACGATTGCTTCGAACCTTTTCTCCTTCTTATCGGAAGTAAAGTATCAGAGCACAATAATCTCTGATCTCGCGCTCTTCTCTCTCTCTCTCTCTCTCTCTCTCTCTCTCTCTCTCTCTCCCTCTCTCTCTCTCTCCCTCTCCCCCTATTTAAATTTTTACCCAGTGGCTTCATTACATTTTTACAACGAAACCGACTCAGGTTCAATCCGTTCTTACCCCTCCCACCCGAGATTATGCGAATACGGTTAAGTAGGTATTTCCAAGCGTAAACTCGTTTAAAAACAACAGGATTCTGGTGGCGGGCGTTTTTACCTCGAGCTAATATCCACGAGGAGGGTCGGGGTTTTTGCCGACCGGTATAAATAACGGTATCGCGGTCCAGAAACGATTGCCCCGCGATAATCGCGTTACGCTACTTATGCAAAGGAGTGGAGCGTAGAATGTTTCTCCGATTGTCGTTTCTACCACCCGCAAACCGGTGTAATTACTTTTATATGTACGAATTACAAGAAAGGTTTTGTAATACACATTGCATTTTCTTTCTCTCTATTCTTTCGACACGTTTGCCATTCGTCAAATGGGGGAGGAATATGATAATAACGTATTGAACAAAGGAGAATGATCTCTCGAAATTGGATGGAGAAAAGTATCTGGGTACGAGTCCTTTGGATAATTCTGCACAGAGGTAGCTGTAACAAGAATATTTAAAAATATTTAAAGATTATTTTTATTTATCAAATCAGTTCTAGAACGATCGAATACAAAATTACATTAAATTAAATTAAATTAAATTATACTCGTAATTAGCTTTATATCGATGAGAAATAAAATGTTAGAATTCTTTGGATTCTATGCTTAATGCATCGAGGTGTTGTGAAAAATTAAAGCAATCAGACCCGCAATTCGTTCCTTCCATCGACTGAACTCGTAATTTGATAATCATTACGGTATAAAATTACGAATAAAACGAAACGCGTTTTAGATCGATACGCCGTAAAATCCTGCTGGAACTGGATTTCATTGGATGGTGGGCGTTAATAAAAAGTATACGGGCTAATTAGGTATAACAGTTTCCATATCGAAGCTTAAAACCGTGTAAAACGCAAACGGTGTGTGCAAATGAAAAGCAAACAACCGCTAATATCGTAATCGTTGAAATTTTAGTTACGTATGTATAATTCTCGAACTAAGGTTGTTAAACAATTACGCGTAACGTGGAATCGTATCATCCTCTTAAAACGTAATTAGGGTGTAATTTTCTTCACAGTCACATCCCATCTATCCTCGATTATTTTTTTCGGATCTAATTAAAATTTTTTCCTTTTCCTTTTCTTCTTT